GGCAAATGCTCAACTTTTATTTATTTTGCATTTTTTTTTTTGCTTTTTTTTTTTTTGTTATGGACTGAGCCAGAACAGAGCTGTAGTAGTAACCGCTGAGCCACAGAGGCGGCCGCTGTGTGTTTTCGACTATAAAATTAAATTGCGATGTGGTAGAAAAGTTAGTAAATGCCCAGTACAGCAGCAGCAACAAAAAACTATTGCTTACTGCCCCACATTACACATTTGGCATTCGCACACATACTCAGACACACACACACACACACATATATACTGTCTGTATGTTTCTCCCTTCGGCAAATACAGATACAAATGCAAACTGCAGCAGTGAACAATTGTTCAGCGCATATCATTTGGTTAAAAGGATTCGTTTTACTCGTCGCCGCCAACGTTGGTTTGTTATATACGAAAACCATTCAAATATAGTGTGTGTGTGTGTGTGTGTGTGTGTGTGTGTGTGTGTGTGTGTGTGTGTGTGTGTGTGTGTGTGTGTGTGTGTGTACGTACAAATCAACTAATCTACTCCCCACGGCAAAGTTACGAGAAGACCGACAATTATATCCGCTCTCTGCTCACAATTTTTGCATGTCGTAAAGTTTCTAGTGGTGCACAGACCCCAAGCTTTAACCATTCCCCATCTTCACTTCACGTCCCGTCTGTGCTTTCTACCACTTCAGGTTGTAGTCGCACAGCAGCTTCATACACACTGCTTTCTCAGCGATATGATTCCATTAGTGTTAGATAGATGTAGAGTGACAATATTAATAGTTTATTGGGAGTTTATTTGTATTAATTTCATTTTGCAATAATAGTTTTGGAAAAGACCTGTTTGAGATATGAAAATGGCATATCTGCATAACAAATTTGTTTTAATAGTCTGTTTCTATCTACTTCTTTAACAGTGTGGGATGAATTTTATCCTCACCTACTTTGGGAGAGTCTATTCAAGTCTGCGCTGCATTTCGATATGATCTTAGATTGTATCTAACATTCACAAAAAAGAATAAAGAAATCTCAAGTTTGTCTCATTTCTATAATACATAGTTGAAAGTAACTATATGCATAGCTATTAATATTCAGTAAAGCCTACATTGTCTTAATGCGATAATCTTCCACTCTAATCGTATATTGGCTATATATCACTTAGAGCCTATTTTAAAATATATATTTTTATTAGGTTTATCTATGTGCCTGTCAATCAATCTCAGCCATTCAAATAATATTCCGCAAGTGATAAAAATGTTAAGTTCCGAAAACTAGGAAACATTTCAAACTTATTAGCATAAAAGAGCATTTCAAGTTCGTTGTTGTCTCAACACCTTCACAGACTGTTGCATACTTTCTGGAGCACTGCTATTTTACAATTTGTGTTGATGTGTGTGTGTGTGTGTGTGTCTGTTGTGCCGAGTGTGAATCTGCCTGGCATTACTGTTTGTATTGCAAAAGTTGTTGCAACTTCGTTAAAATAAGCACTCAGTTAGTTTGCCCGCCGGCTCAATGGGCTCTCATCCGTTCAGCTGTGCCGCTCCTCCCCGCCATCCCCTGACCGTAGCTCGTCTCCAGTCGTAGCCCCTAAAGTCCAATCCTGGGCAGTGGCAATGCAGCAGATTTGTCGGCGGTTTTTGCCATTACAGCCACACACCTAGACCCCATGGTTGTTGTTGCCACTGCTGATAGTTGGCATCTGCATTAGTAATGGTGAGTGGCGGTGAATGGTGGCGAGTGCTGCGCAAATTGGGCGGATTTGGATCTGGGCCGTAGCTGTGACAGCGATTGCAAGCCGCTGGAAGCCGAGCAACTGCCCAACCACCACCCAGTGTCATGTGTGTCTGTCTGCGTGGCAGGTGCACGTAAGAATAGCGTTTAGTTTTCGGTTAGTGCTCCGTCTTCTTCGACTGCGACTCGACTGCAGCTCCTTGGTGGCTATTAAGCTGCAGCATTTTATACACCACAGCAAAGGGAGCCATCATAGCCCAAGAGCACATTGCTTTGTTTTCGCTTTCGCTTTCGGCTGAGCCGTGAGCTGTGAGCCCTGAGCTGTTCGCTAAACAATGCCGTTACTTAAGCCAGCAGCTGGCTCCAGTTACTCCAGTCCATACTCCAAACTACCACTTCCGCCTTTCCCCCCATTGTACCGACAGCTTGTATTTAGCGTAGTTTCCTTCCGCTCAACACGGCCAAACAGCAAACGGCAACGGCACACGGCTCGTTTGGCAGCGCTGTCTGAAATGCAATTAAGTTGCATCGACATGCAATCTCCGGCACGAGAGAGAACACATACGGCTATACAACATGCACCACCAATCCCAGCACCACCATCCATGCGCAACTTCCAACAGCTTCAAGCTGCATTTACACGAAGAAAGCCCCAAGAACGTTAAGCCATTTCAGTTATCCAGCAAAAAAGGATAAGGAAAAAAACGAATAAAAAAAAAATGTAACGAATTCAAAGTATGCTCTTGAAAAGAAAAGCATTGTTTTTCAACATTCTACTCTACAACAATTTTCAATGAAATGAAACTAAAGGCAACTCTTAAGCTTAACTTGAAACATTTGTTTATTCATTCACTATTTTGTACAGGCGACAAATGTTAAGCGCGCTCTTCAATTTTCACAACTTAACATTTTTGCCATCAAATTTGATATACAAAATAGACAAAATTTAAATAATAACCACGAACGGCATTATCGTTACTGATTTGGACGATAATTTAATTTATGTTGTCAATAAAATAAATAAAAAAAAGATAATTTCAATGAAACTAAACAACAATCTGTGGGACTTAAAATATTTGTTTAAATTTGGGCATTTCGAAACTTGAAAGGAGCAATTAGGGTAATTTGCCAGCAAACATTTTTACCATGAATACAAACAAAAAACTGGCTCTGAATTTGTTTTGAATTCAGTTTTATATTTATTTAAACACTCACTCACTTTGGTGTTTACCATTTTGAGAACATACCACGAGTAATTTCAATAAAAACAAAAGTGACACGTTTCTTAAAATCAAATAAATTACCTTTAAATGCAGATTTCATCTGAACACCAAACACCGAAATTGTGTCTGGCTTGAAAACTATTTGATTTTCAACGAAGACAGGTTGTTTTGGAGTCTAACAAGATACGTTGCCACAAAAAAGGTTGCCTCAGCCAGTTCTCTAAAATGCAAATCCACATTTAGCTGCAAGACTTTAAGATGAGATGAACATGAATAGATGGAGCGAGTGCCCTCAACATCGCCCTTCAGTTTGGAGCACTTATGTATCTCGCACTTTTACTTTTATTTTAGCCAGGCTATCAGAGACGAGCCAAGTGCATCTAGTGCACAAGTAGAGCACTCGTCAGAGCTCTTCAGTGTGCCGATAATCCAATTACGGCTATGGCCCGCCAGTCTGGCCAAGGGTCGCCTTTTGCCTGTCGCTACACTTCTTTGGGTTGATTTTAGGCAGGCAGGGTGGGTGGTGTGTGGGTGGTGTGCGGGTGTGCGGGGAGGATTGGTGCTTGAACAACCTGGCGTGCGCGCGTCTCTCACATAATTTTAGCCAGTTTATTTGCTTGTTGGCTTTGTGGGCTGCCCGCGTTATTATCAAGTTACATTGGCCAAAACACTAAAATGTATGCATAAAAGGGTCGCCACCTGAACCCAAGCAGCTGCCAAGGAGCTGGCTGGGGCTAATGTCTGAGGTTTGCCGCAGTCCCAGTGTTTTATCAGATGTTCAGGTGCAGAGCTGTGTGGCGGAGGTGGCAAAATGTGTATGTGTGTGTGTGTGTGTGTGTGTGTGTGTTGTGTATGTGTGTGTGTTGTGCGGTACACCCATTTGCTTCGTTTAGCGCATTGTGTTTGTTATTTAAAACACGTAAACGCTCAACTAAACGAAAATGTTTAGAATTTTCGATGTAGCAGCGAGGACTGACTTGATTTTGATGGGTGCAGGAGAGGAGGGCAATGAGTTGGGGGCAACTATTACTATATCGAAAAGGATTTTAATTCAAATGTTTTTGCAACCGTTTTCCATTACGCAAAACACCGTGTTAATATTTCTAGCATTTTTATTTATTTTATATTTGATATGGTTTTTATTTTTATTTTTTTTTTAATTTCACTACTTTAATTTAGCAATTGCTGTTAGGCGTAATATAAATGAATAAAAATCGGGAAAAAATATATTAAAAAATAAACATAATACAATGCCATAATATTTTTCTAAATTACGCTCGTTTTATATATCTTTATATACAATCTGGTATTTTAAAAACACACATTTTTCACAAAAATGCATTCGTTTGAAGGAAAAACAACAACTTAAATAAAAAAATAAAATGAGAGATATTTCATGGCCAGCAGCAGTGGAACCCAAATCAACATTTGTATTTGGGCTTCACGGGTATTGTAATTGATTTATTAATTTGTTCTCATTGAATAGTTTATATAATTATTTAATATTATTATTATACTTGTGCATTTTGCATCATCGTCGTGTAAACAACTACAATTAGTATCACGATTGTCATTGTTTTAACAAAAAAAACACACAAAAACATAAAAAATCATTTCATTTTTTTGTTGCTTTTTATAACACAAAAAGGTCGAACAAATGTAAAATGCATTTCATAATTTATTTCATTTAATTGGTATTCATGTGTTTTTCTTGTTGTCTCTTTTGTTGTGTGCACTCTGTAAATGTTTACGCTTCTCATTATGTTTTATTATGACCTTTTATATTACTTTCGCCAAAACTGATATGTACTTATATATGTGTTTTAAAAATTGACTGCCACAAAAGTTCAAAAACCCTCTAGTAGTCCATAAATTTTTAATTATTTGTTACTTGTTGTTTTTAGTGATAATTGTGCAATATGGCGTTTCTACGTTCATTAAAAAACCATTATAATTGCTATCCAATTGATCGTTTATATCATATACATATATATATATTAATATATATATATATATATACATATATATATTAATTTATTTATATATAATGTACTTATTGGCCTTGCTGCTAAATTGTATTCCATATTTTGTATCTAGAATCGTTTTCAGCTTTTAAAAATATTATAATATTATTATACCTCATGTAAACTATTATTAACAACTTATCCGTCTAGTAATTCTATAGATGCAAAAGTGTTTATTAACTGCGCTCTAGTTGTGTTCAAGTGTGTTTTCGGGGGGAGTGGATGTGGGTGTGAATGTGGGTGTGCGTGTGTATGTGTGTCTGGGTGAGTATGGCTTTTATCAGTTATTAGGAATCATCATATGTCCGCTGATGCGTGTGTATCTGTGTCTGTGTGTGTGTATCTTTTTTTGTGTCTATGTAATCAATTGCATTAAGTACAATTACGTTGGCCAAGACACAGCGCCAAGCAGTTAGGTAACAGTGGGGTGCTCTTAAATTACCTACTGGTCTTTTGATGGTGTTCAAAGGAATGATTATATAAAACAAATAATTGCTAAGGGTAAGAGAATCGAATGGTAATGGTAAACAACACATACATAAACCAATCCGAGATAGTCATAAAACATTGCATCGAAAACAGTTTATTGAACCAAAAGTCAAAGTTTGAGTAATGAGTCTAGTAGGAACTGTTTAGGGTAGCTATCGATTAACATAGTCAAAATAGTTGAAGTATTCAAATTATATTGATATAGTTTATGGTTATTTAATATAAATCCTGACCGCTTGGCGCTTATGAAATGCGACAATTTGTCACTGTTTTCGTAGTCCTAATTTATTTATAATTTATATAAAACTTATATTTTACGAGTGGACATTAACCGATTTGCTGATTTCGTTATTGTTAGGGTTCATTAGCTAATTCCAAGTGTGCCACGAAACTCAGGCTACGTTTAGTACATACATATATATTAACCTCAACTCTATATACAATATCATACATATCGTTATCCAACGGGCAACCGCATTCGTTGCAGCCAACTCACAACTTGGCCAGCTCCAGCAGCCACAACTAGAGCCAACATCAAAGGGATATGGTGAAGAGTGGCAACGTTAACGCCGCCGCAAACGATAACAGAAAGATACGCTGTCCGGAACTGCTCAATGCACTGGCCTGGCACAGCAAATCCTCCGGAAATATCTCCAAGATGGGCAGATGGCGACCCGATGTTGGATCATGGCAGGTATTGGCACGCGCACGCTGTTGACGAGGCAGTGATTAAAGTAAACATTGTTTTAAGTATATTTTTTGTGCAAGATATTTAAGTATATATATATATATATTTAGTAGGTATATGGGTTATAGGCACTGCAGAGGAATATTTGCTTAGGCTAATGGGCCTTAACTGGGACTACGTGAAACAAAATACATGATGAAAATATATATAGTAATTACTGAACAATTTTAGCTATATTCAGTTCGAATTTACAACTGGATTCACTTGTTTAGTGTACGCAACATAATCTGAATGTGCTACTTATTAATCGTTGTGCTAAGATATTGCTGAGAAGCTTTTGAAAGTACAGATTGTTAGTAGAAAATGTCAGTCAGACCAATATTTATTCGTACCATCTTGAAAAAAGACTACACCAAGCAGTCTGCGATCAGAAAGGGAAGATAGATTTATTAAGAAAATATAATATTAGAATTCCAATTAAGACTCCTGATGAACTTTTTAATTGGGGACAATTTTACAAGACCCATACTCAAGAATAGGTCGCACAAGTGAAATATATATAGTTTTCTAGTAAAACAGGGATTCCTTTGATCAGCGCTTGATGAAATCCAGTTCACCAAAAGCTCGATTATCATAGGAAGAAATATGATTGTCAAACTTAAGCTAGGGATCTAAAAGGATGCCCACTAAAAGGATACCCTTAGATCACTAAGTAATGAACTCTTCATTATCAAAGGCACAAAAATGCAATTAGAGCTGACGATTATGGGATATAAGTAGATTGAAAGAATTCAGCAAATAGATCGGCGATAGCCTGATCTGAATCAGTCGTCTTTTCTTTCAAAAAATACATTAACAAAATTGTAAAAACGTTTCTCAAACTGAAAGTTGCAGCTTGATCGGTAATCCGTATAACATTTGTTATTAAGAATCAATAAATATAACTTTAAGACGAGTTATAGAAGAAAGTTCTTGAAAGACTTGTCAGTACGAATAATTATTGGTCCGTTTTATATTCTCTAAATGGCTTAAACAACAAATTGACAAAACAACAAATTGACTTAAAGTATTTAAAAGTAAGTCAAGATAAACTCATAGATTATGAAAACTGATTTGGTCGAGTAGCGATTTATGATTTCATTTCAATAATTGTTATAGTGAAAATTGGCAAATATTTCTCTGCAGTTAATATTCTTAAGAAATAGAAACAATAGAAAGCTTACGCGCATATCGGCAAACAATAGGGGTAACTTTTTGCAGTAAATTGCATTCAAATTCAAGAATAAAAATACATATTTAAATAAGGAGACAGATCAATAAGACACGATAAGAAATATGCAAGTAATCTAACATTCAGCACCCACCTGCACCATGCGCTTGAGGTCATCCTTCTGTATGACTTTGATCTGTGCGGATTCGCGGAGCCAGCGTCGCAGCCAGTGTCCAAACCAGACCAATCCACACTCGCACTCAAGGGGATTGTGCGAAGTGATTAGACCACCCATAATGCTGCGCGTGCCGACAGCATCCCAATAGCTCTTGTTGGGATAGAAGCTGTCGGCGGCCAGCGCATTGATGCGATTGTGCGAGATATCAATGGATAGGTGGGGCACCTCGCGCAACGCATAGAATATCCCGGGTGGCAAGTCGGAGATGCGAGTGTGCGAGATCTTCACCTGCAGCTGCTGATTGCGTGCGAGACCCGAGAAGGCGTCCGGTGAGATTGTCTGCACATTGCTGCCATACAGCTCCACCAGCTGCAACTTGGTGTTGTTCACCAACCTCTGCAGCAGCTGACCGCCAATATTGGACTCCAGACAATGGACTCGCAACTCCTGCAGGCCCGGCAAACGGGCGACCAAATCACCGAGATTTGCATGCGAGCTGGCGTGCAGTTTGCGCAGGGATCGCAATTTTGAGAAGGCCTGCGGATTGGCCACCTTCACGTCCAGCAGATTGAGCTCGGACAGATGCCGCAGACTGAGCAGATCGTGCAGCGTGATGCGACGCAACGGATTGTGAGCCAGATCCAGCACTCGCACCGAGGTCGGTAAGTGTTCCACAGCGCAGCTGGCATTGATCAACTTGTTGTGGGAGACGTTCACGTGTCGCAGATGACGCAGTGCACCCAGCGGTGACAGCTCCTGCAGATAGTTACCACTGACGTCCAGATAGGAGAGCAGCGGCAGCTTCAACGTCGGCAGCACATAGAGACCCATGTGATGAAGGATCAGTTTGCGGACACGAGGCGTATGCACAAAGACCTCCCGCAAATTGGTGGTAACTAACGGATTCTCGGAGAGATCCAGATTGGTCAGATTGTTGAGGAAGCTGAACGTATTGTCCGGCAAGATAGTGATGCGATTCCGCGCCAGACTAATGTCGTAGAGGAACTGTGAGTTGACAAACATCGATGCATCCAAATACTCCAAATTATTCCGCGACATCTGTATGGATCTCAGGGTGAATCCAATGTCCGTAAATGCTGGCACGGGCCAAACACTCAGCTGATTATCGGATATATCGAGGAACTCCAGGCGCGTATTCATAAAAACCTCGCGGGGCAGCGCACGCAGGCGATTCGAGCAGATGCGCAGGATTCGCAGCTTGCGCAGATTGGAGAACTGCTCCACCTGCAGCTGATCCAGCTGATTGTGACTCAGATCCAGCTCCTGCAGACTGTTCAGGCCCTGAAAGCTGCGCCGGCGCAGCGAGCTGAGATTGTTATGCGACAAATTGAGTATCTCCAGGAACTCCAGGTCACCAAATGCATGACTCTGCAGACCACCCAGGGAGTTGTGTGCGACATTGAGGAAGCGCAGTGTGTTGGCCAGATTCGTGAAGCTGTCCGATTTGGAGATATGATTGTGACTGATGTCCAGCTGATATATATACATATAGCTGCTCAGCTCATCGTCGAAGCTCGAGATGTGATTGTGACTGAGATTAAGGCGCAACGGTGTTGTCGCATTCGATACATAATGAAAGGACTTCAAGGACAATGCACACAGCTGATTATGCATCAGATCCAGTGCACCCAAATTGGGCAGCACAGTGAATGCACCATGCGATATATTACCCAGACGATTATGCGATAGATCTATATAGCGTAGGAACTCCAGATTGTGAAATGCGTGTCTGGCAATGCTCCGCAACTGATTTGATTGCAGATTCAGTGTCTGCAAATCCCCCAGATTGTGAAATGTTTGCGACTCGAGCCGGTCCAGGGCATTGTAGGAGAGCTCAATCTCCACGAGATGACTATGCGCCTCGGGCAAAAACAGGCCGTGTGGCAGTGATTTGAGCTGATTGAAGCTCAAATTAATGTAGCTCAGTTCGCGCATTTGGGCAAACGACTCATTGGAAATTGTCTTCAAATTATTATTATCCAGTCCCAGCCAGATAAGCTGCGACAGCGGCAGCAATGCATCCAACGGATCCAACGATTCCAGACTTCGAGCTGGAAAGACGGCAAAGGAGAGCTCCAGAATTTTCAACGTATGCGAAATGTTCTCAAAAACCAACGGATGATGTATGGTTATATCATTGAAGCTCAGACTTATCTCCTGGATTTGATCGAGACCCGCAAACGAGCCCAAGTGTAGATGGGTAATCTTATTGTTCCGCAGGAGAATCGTTTGCAAATTGGAGCCCCAACCATCGACAGCAAAGATGCCCTCGGGTATGTCCGCAATGGAATTATAGCCCATATTCAGATACGATAACTGTGTGTAGTTCTTCAGTCCCAGAACGGGAATCATTGTGAAATTATTGCCACTCAGGCTGAGCACCTTCAGATTCGATGTGAGGCTGGGCAAATTGCTCAGCTGATTGATCCGATTGGAGGTGAGATATAAGTAACGCAAGCGATGCAGTGTGGATATGGCCACCGGCACAGTGGTCAAATGATTGCGTTCCAAATCCAAATACTCCAGCGTATCCGTCAGACCCTCAAAGGCCGCTGGATGCACACGACTGATGGCATTGAATGCTAGCACAAGATGCACAATACCCGTTGCCCGGAACACCTCCGCCGGCAGCTGGGTCACGTAGTTCTGTTCCATGTTGAGTGCACGTATGTGCACATCCGAGTAGTTTTGCTGAAAGAAATCCGACTCGAGCTGCTCAATGCAATTCTGGCCCAGATCGAGCTTCTCCAGATGCATGCGCAGTGTTCGCAACTGCAGCTCCTTCTCCCTCTCCTTGCCATGGACGCTGCGCAGTAGATTGTCGCGCAGGCTAACGATCCGGAGCTCTGGCAGCTGTTCGAACAGCTGGTGGGGGAAGACGGATAGTAGATTGCTGGACAGATCCACGGTGACCAGTGAACGTGGCAGATAGTTGGCCGACACATGAGTTATCCGATTGTTGGACAAGTCGAGCCACAGCAATTTCTGCAGCTGCTCAAACCGATCCCCCGAACCGGGATTGGCTGAATGCAGCACATTGCTCCCGTCCAAACCATTCTGCACACCAATGGCAGCCAGGCTGTTGGGCTGTGAACTGTTGTTATCACCGTTATATGCTAACGCATCGAAAGCGCCACCTGGCGCCACTTCGGTGATATCATTCCCGGATAAATGCAGGGATCGCAACGTATCATGTTGCGCCTCCCAGTTACCATCCAGGCTGGTTATGTGATTGCTAAAAAGCAAAGCAACAAAGCAAAACACGAATTAAATAAAATTAGAAATTAGTGATTTGTATTAATCAAGAATCAATTTAAATATTTTCTGTCTCTGTTTCAAAATGATTCTCCTGTTTTGTGGAATTCAATTAACTTACCGTTGCGCCACAAGTCGCGTCAACGAGTGCAGTCTCTGCAGTGCCTCAAGTGGCAGCTGCTGCATCTTATTCCCCGATATATCCAGGGTCATCAAGGAGTATGTCATGGTGCTGAAATAAAATAGAGAGAGAGAGAGAGAAGGAGATAGAGATATTTGGGCATCAAGTAGGGAAATCTATATTTAAATGTTGATATATTTAAATACTTTTAAATTGTGAAAAGTTGTTGCTAAACTTGCTAAGCAAGGGTCTGTCACGCCCATTGCCACACCGTCCAATTGGTAAGCCACCATGGATTTGGATGAGGTAGCTGCCTGCCTTTTGACGTATACAACACACATACACACACTCACAGTTGGAAAACAAATATTTAAACTTAATTAACGCACCACAAACCCGACGACAAAGCCATGTGACCAATCCCCTTGCGCTGACCCCCGCCCCTGTCCTCTTGCCATATATACTCCCCGCACCAACACCCTCAGCACCAGCTGCACTCCATTAATAGTTACACATACACGCATTCCAAAACACAAAAGAGAGAAAGAGTGAGAGAGTGAGTGAGTGAAGAAGTGCGACCTCAATTATGAGAACCACGAAGTTTTACAAACAAGCATCAGCCTCTGCTCCAGACGACGTCGCGTCGCTGCTTTCGAATTGGCTGTTGTTGTAACGACTGCTGCTGTCGCTGCTCATGCGACGAAGAATCAAACGTGAAGCACAAAGCGCAAATTTTTGTTGCTCCTTTAGCACACTCTCTCTCTCTCTCTCCGCCAATTTGGCTCTTGCCGGCTTCTTCATCTCCACCTACACCTACACACTTACGACAACGTTTGTTTTCTGTTTTCGGTTTGTGTTTCGGTTACCATTTGCTGTTTGCCGGTTGCTCACTGCTTATATCTTGTTGTTGTTGTTGTTGTTATCGTTGCTGTTTTCCTTGTGGTCGCCCGCCCGTTTAAGGCTGCATGTATTTGTGTGTGTGTGTGTGTGAGTGTGCGTGTGTGCGTGAGTGACAACTGCGTTTGTCATCAAAAGGCTCCCATGTAAATATGGCAGCCTCGCTGTGTACTCAAGCATGCATATGCAAGCGCACAAGCCGAGGGCAGTTCAAACAGTATTGCAATAACACAAAATTCAAGTAGACCATTTAAAACTAATCTGAATTAGGACTTTAACGTAAAGTCATTTAAGTTTGTATTTATATATATATATATATATATATATATATATATATATATATATATAAGTTTGTATTTAGAATTGAATGTTTTTATTTGCTTATTATTATTAAACTTGTATTATTATTTTATTATTCGCATAAATATTATATATTTTATTTGTTGCCAATTTGTATTATACTTAAGTTCCATAATGCAAACTTAAATATTAATTACATGATTTACTTAGTATAAGCCATTTCTATTCGAACGTTAGTCTTATATAATAATATAGAGCTGACCTCGCTTTAGAATTATTTACGTTAAATTCATGTACATAATCATAAAAGGCAATCTTCAAAGGTTGAATCATTATGAATTGAATTTATCAAAAGATCACAATAATTACGTTTCCTATTTATTTATAAGTATTTGAGTTGGGAAGCCCTCGTATATTGATTTGTATTTCTTAGTTGTATATTTATGCACAAAACAAAGCAATGGGAATATTTAAGCCCAACACGCTATAATAATGCCACACACACACACATACACACAATCGAGTGAGTGTATTCATGTGTGCGAATTTCACAATATTACACTGTAAATTATTAATGAACAATTTATATGAATGCATTTGTCGATTGTTAGTACATATAATAGAACAATTTGCAATAATTTTTAATTTTGCCATTTATTATTTTTACTTACATACATTATTTTAGTTGCGATTATAAACTCATTCTATGTACTTAAAGTAATGAATCTCTACACTTTTTTCAACTCTAGTTATTTTTAATTATAATCAGCGCATTATGATTGTTCCCTCCTAATATGATTTATTTTTCCAACGATAAGAAAAACAAGAGCTGCGATACACAAAAAAGCACACAATGCATAGCCTGCATAGGAGGACCATTTAATTAGCTCCGATTTATTGGCAGTTTCGAATTCATATTCCTTTGAAATGCACTCAAACATTGCTGTACCAGAGCAGCTCAAGTTACAGCTGCCATAATAGTTAACACAACGTGTATAATCGATGCAGGGCTTTATAAATGAATCCAGACAGAGTCCAATGCAATTCGATGGTTCCACGATCTTTCCGGAGTTATCATTTCGAAACCAGCATTGACACTTTCTCATACAGTTGACCATATCGGCAGGCAAGAGCGGTTCATCAGCTGCTCTGGCTATGCTCATTATCAGCGCAAGTAATACGCAAAGAAACAATGCACGCCCATTGCTATTAAATATTTCGTACATATCTCAACTAAATTGTCGGACTGTCGAGCAGCGCGATCGAAACTCAACTGAACGCCAAACACTCTTTCAACTTCACTCAGAAATTGCCGATAACAATTATTTACTTAATCAAATGAGTAATATGTATATGTGTTGTGCTTCTGTATAGTTGATATCATTGCTTATATGAAAGCGATGAAAGCATTATTTTTATGTCAAACCGCAATCGAAAGTGAAACTATTTACGGATTGAAATATAGAATCGGAAACAGAACATTTAGCGGATCATCATAATTGTCGACACAATCACTTAGGTATCTGCATGTAAACGTTTCTGTGTTCAAGAACTTATATTCCAAATTAGATGTCTCGAGCTCTTATAGTCTCTGAGATAGATTGAGATGATTAGATCGACTAGGTTAATGGTTATGAGCTCGGAGATGCTTCTTTCTGCCTGTTATCCAAATTTGGAATATAAATTCTCGTATACCTCGCGCACATCTAGTTTATTTAATGCTATCGCTAACTGCCAAGTTTCGCAAATATCGATAAATGTCGATTTCCGATAGCAATAAAATCCACAATTTTAAATGCTGATCATTCCAGTCAACACACAATATACATTAAAATGTTGTTGAACACGTTGACAAATTTCATTAAAATCAGATAAGAAATTGCCATTAAAATCTATTATCAAGTGAAGCAAGCGATTGTATCTATTAAATATTAAATACAATTTAATTGACCAAACAATATTAGCATTTTTACTTATTTATACATTTATTTATAGCTATATGCCCATGTAATATATCATAATATTTAAGGATAACTTTTTGCTATGCTTATTATGAGCATTTTCCCATAATAATTTGAAGTTTGGGGCTGAGTTTTGCAACTGTTAAACAAACTTTTTGATTAGCATACGTTGCCACGTAGAGATTAACGGAGACACACAGATGGGTAGTGATAGATGATGGGTAGACTGGATAATCAGTGGGGCAAAGTAGAAAGTCGGGTAATTTTTAGCCACACTTTTGCCAGGTTTGTGCAGATTAATTAGTTTGATTTAAGTTGAGATGTGGCCTGTTAATGACGAGCGAGTTTGTGTCTATTTACAGACACACTCAACCCGGATGCCATCCCACCACCCCACCACCCCACTATCCCACTACCCGACCACCCTCCGCCTGCTCTGGCACGTTATCTGCTTACTTTTGTGTGAAGGGTCTTAAAAACTGTACAAACTGTTAACGTGCGTCCATTTAACTTTGCCAAACGTAAGGAACAGTCAACGGAGCTGGGATTCTGTTTACTGGTTTTTGCGGTGGGCAGGCAGAAATGCTGGCTGACAGGCAGGGAGTCGGTAAGGGCAGTGGGGCGTGTTTTGGTTCTTTGTGCTCGTTAAAAAATTTTCGCGTTTCATTTCATGCCGCACGAAAAAACCAAACAACTGCCAAATGCGGTCGAGTGATGGAAAGCGTAAGAGAAACGACCGAGGGGCAGATAGAGGCAGTCACAGTTCACATACAGTCACATGTTTGATGTGATGTGTAATGTATTTTGCGTTTTGTGTGGACCCATAAAAAAGCTGACGAAATATGCTCTTGTATATACGTTGTTCAACACTACATGCATATTTCGAGTCCGTTTTTCACTCGATGCCCGTTTATAATTCTTCAAAGGGTATTATAGTTGGTGTACCACGACATGGCTGCATAGCCGAACATGGACAAAAATATATTTTACTTTAAATTATCTGCTACTATCTGTAAATTAAATGGCATTATTTGAGTCCCTAAAATATTCATTAAAATGGAATATATAACACCAAAGACTACAGCTACATATATATATAATTTTCTAGTCTTTGATAACATTGAGATTATGTTACTTTTATATGCCTGAATTCCCATAAATAAAACGGCAACATTGCCCTAAGATTACTTAATACTTTAATATTTACATACATACATAATATTTAATATAATACAATATTGTATACATATACTATATGATTACTGCAAGTTTCAATTAAATTATTTTGATTTGTATTTTCTTTCTGAAATGTTTGAGGATAATTATTCAATGGATTCTCATTCATTACTAATATAAACTAAACTTTTAAAGACTTGTTACAACTTAAACAGAGACTCTTGAATATTTTTTTATGTATGCCATTTCAAAGATTGCCTTATTAACACATCCCTGCAATATTTTCAACTTGTTCATATTTAAACATTTATGGGACAGTTATTATGAATTTGTATTTTGTTTTGTTTATATAATTCTTAACATTATCCAAATACTGAAAAACATAGATACATATGACAAAGTAAAATATAATTTATACGACACATAAATGTCATTAACGTTTTTGTTGGCGGATAAAAAATAAGTTGATCGCGATTTCATTGTTTTCGGTAAATGCACTTTGTTTTCCTAGAGCATTATATTTTCGTTATAGTGTTTTATTTATTTTATTTTTTGTTCGCATTGCATCTACTTCATTCTTTTTGTGATTATTTACACTCAAACAAATAGCGCTTGAAAGTTTTTCTTTTGCCCCGTCCCGTCGTGTGTGTGTTTGTGTGCTTATGTGTGTGTGTGTGTGTGTGTGTGCCATGTGAGTTTGCATTTCCTGCCAGCATTTTCAGCCTGAGTGGCGCATGAAACACTCCCAAAACAGTGCATACGCTGCACAATCCCACTTCACTTCATACCCTGCCCCTTGTTGCTTTGGCCAGTCGTTTGTTAAACTTAATTTTACGCCTTTTTTACAACTTGCAGTTTTATGTTGTAAAATATATGTAGTTTTTATGTGTGTGTGTATGTGTGTTTGGTAAAGCACTTGCACTACAAACACATAAACACACAAAAATACCAAAAAAAAATAAAAAAATTACAGAAGCCGTGAAAAACTGCCGCTCAGCGGCCATATAAATAGGCCGCTGAAAACTGTCGCGTCATCAGAATATATGAAATATATATGTATATATATATATATACATATATATTTAGTTAGGTATTTATATATTTTGGTGTGTGTCTTTTGTGTGCGTGTGCTTATGTAGCAGAGTGCATCATCATGGCTCAGCACTTATGTTGAAACCCTAATCCCAAATGCCAGTACACGTAGTGGCAACCCCTTGGCACTTAGCACCCCTCACTGGCTGTTTATCCATCTGACATTCATTGGAAGGTGTTGACTTTCACTCACCTGAAACTGCGCTCAGATATGTCCTGCAGCTCGTTGTCGATTAGCTTCAACGTCTTCAGACGCAGTCCCTGAAATGTTTCATCGTCGACGCTCTGCAGATGTGTATTGGACATTTCGATGTAGCGCACGCTGCTGTGTATGAATTCTAAAAGCAAAACACAAAACACAAAACACATGAGAGATTGAGGGTGTGTGTGTATGAAAAAGCAGTCTGTGTGGCATATATGTATGTATATGTACATGCATATATCGATGTAGCAGTGTGACACTGCCTGCCAGTATTGCCCGCCAGTTCATCATTCAAATTGATTTTAAACGGCATTTGAAACGTTTCCCATAACCCGGAGGGAACAGCTCCAATCCCCCTCCCCCACAGTCCAACCACCTCCCGCCTTCACTCACTTCTCGCTGCTGAGGCTAACGATGATGGCTTTTGTTTTGGCAGTTTGATAGCAGGCGCGTTAAAGCAAATGGGTCATCAGCGAGCCATTGGCCCACACAATGAACCAAGAAAAAGAGACGAGAATTGCGAAGCAAGCTGGAGGCCAGGACTTTGATTTTTATGCGCTTTTTCCGTTTTCCAAACGCCGAACGCTCCACCATAATAGGAAAACGACCAAAGCAATTTAAAAAAGGCACTTTAGATATATTGGAAGAGTGACATCCTTGCCATTTTTGCTAGAGCAAACAACGCGCGCGGAACGCTTGTCTTGATTGCCATGCATGGGGAGAGGAGGAGGGGCGAAATGAGACTGCACAAAATGTTTAAAACATTCAGTTAGATATAGATAAGATAACGGAACAAATATACAAACAAAAAATTGTAGACCCATTATAGATAGCACAATTTGAATAAAATGATTAAGAATATTCTATTATCATTTATTTGTAATTTTGTTTCTTTATTTCTAGGAAATCGAAATTTGAGGGGCCTGATACCGACTTGACCTTTATATATGGAGTATATTAATATATTTATATTTATATTGTATTATTTATAGTATTTTCTTGGAAGAGTTTATTTTTATGGCAATTACAATGAAGTCTTTAATATCAATTGGAATCGCTGTACAAATTAGCCTGCGTATGGTCGATATATGAAAGTATGTCATAATTGAGACAAAAATTATTTGCAAGGTCTGTGAAAATGCATAGCTAAGAGTAAGCAGAAAATTCAGCAAGCTTCGCAAATAATTTTGCCAGAATATCAGTTGGAATACGGGATACAGAACGGTTTAATAGTTTTATAAATTATAAAGCCATAAACTATTTGCATGGTCTGTGAAAATTCTGCATGCTTTGCAGATAATATTTGAACTCAACTGTGAAATGGCCGTTAAAGCAATTATTTTTTTTAAATATGTTTTTCTTTTCTTTTTTTTTTTGAAATGTATTCCATATATTTTGACAAGCTGCCGTTTTTGAGCATACGCAGCTCACAATGGGATTCAGTCATTTGGCGGTCGAAGGGCAAACGATTACGTGTAGTTTAATGGGTCCTTCAACTACGAGTTGGGCCTCGGGGAGAAGTGAGTGCCGCAATTAATTTGCGATTCGTTGAGCATGTGTTAATTAACAACAGTGACAAGATCCTCTTTCTCTCTCTGTCTGTCTCTGTCTCTATCTCTCTCTCTCACTCTCACTCTCTCTCTCGTGCTTGCAGTATCTTGGTATCTGGCACTCTCTGAGGAGCGCCGGAAGGTTGTCCATGGAGACGGTTGGTGACCATGTGTTCTTAGCCTGATTATACGAATTGCTCCCTCCAAAGGGAATTTCCATGTCATGCCTGTCAGCTTAAATTATGGCCTAAGCAAACGGCACATGGCGGCCACGCCTAATGCCACCAGTCTCCTCGCACATAGACAAATACACACAGAAAACATTTTTTCGAGTGTCGACGATATGGTAGCCAGATGAGGAATGACTGCAACAGCAGCAGCGGCAGCAGCAGCAGCAATACCAGCGGCGGTTACAGTACCCGGGCCAGAAAACTGACGTGCAACATGAAAATGCACTTTTCACTTTTAATTGAAAATTTTTTACGTGAATTGTCATTTCTCTTTTTTCTTGCTTTCATTTCGTTTGGTTTGGTTGGGTTTGGTTTGTTGCAAACCTGTATTTTTTGTGCTTTTTTTGGGGTTTTTAGTTAGCAAGTTTTGCCCGACAGCTTTCAAAATACGTACACACACAACCACACTCAGCTGATATTGCATGCATTGGCAAATCACCGTAGGCCAATTGAACACATTCATATTCAGTCATTCATTGTACATTTGAAAAATATATTTTTCCTATATTATATACCCAAAATGTTAACATTAGCGGCTCACGCAGAGTTAATAGCTGTTAAAATATTGACTAAAATCGAATATATTATTCTTGTTAATGTTGATTATTTGATGTCTGAAAGAATAAGCAATGTGCTCGTGCTGTCTGTCGTTGATAATAAGCTTGCAGACTGTAAATAATGTAATTAAACACAATGCCATAAATATTCATCTTCTTTAGCAGAAGTTTTTCTTTTCGAATTTGTTTTGAAATGTGTGAAAAGCACACATCTCGGGAAATAAAAGCTGATTTTCCTAAAAGAATTGATCAGTCGACCAATTTGTTTTCCTACGGGAGCTATCTGTTATGCTAATTCGATATTAATCGATTTTTAACAAAATGTTATTAACACAATAATACGACAAACTGGCAAATTTTGGTTCGCAACGAAATGAAACAAACTATATTCCAATAAGCCGCTATGAGTAATTAATTGATTCAAAAAAATTGGTTATTTGTTCTATAGTACAATTGATGGAAATACAATTTACATATGTGCATGTCTGCGTATGTATTTGCATGTGTGCTTGAGCTCCATGGACGAGACTAAAGTCAAAGCGAATTTCGAGCTCAGATTTTGGGGATTGTCATTGATTTGGCCATGAACATTTCAGCAGCATTTCGTACGGTTGACTGTGACTTAAACAATTAATGAACAATTAAATAGAGTACATAAGTGAATTGGCAACGATTGTCTACCAAATCGATATTTTATTGAAAAATTCCTTTGATCTTTTCATGTATTTTAGGCCAATAAATCGAAGTTTTATTGCTGTTCTTAAATAATTGGTGCTTTACAATTTCCTATTTAAATATAATCTTAAGCTGCTTCGCTCTTAGAAAAATGTTTGATTTATTGTTAAGATTGCATCGAATCGGTCATGGAAATTAACTTTAAATAAACTACGCTCGAGTGCTCAATCAGTGAGTTTGACAGTATGGCAAATAGATTATACTTCAATATTAAACTAAATTGTCTCGAAATGTTGGAAATTGAAAACTGAATAATACATTCGAAAACGGACCTAAGTTTGCTGTTTTCTGTAAATGCAGTTAATAAACAATAATTTATTCATGCCACATTCGATAATAATTTATTTATATACACATCGCCCAAAGTTCAAAGCCACAGCTTAAAGACTGAATATAACTTGCAATATATATACACACACACACACACAAACACATATATCGACCTTTGCACGCGCACTAAACGACGATATACGCAAACAGCTTACATCTTAATTACATATCGCATATTAATACAATATTAATCATACGCCCTGTTGACACGCGCAACGGGCAAGAAACGTGGCCAAACGCATTGGCCATGCATGACGGCAGCTCGCATCAAAGCTGGCAAGGAGAGAGACTGTGTATATGTGTGTGTGTGTGTGTGTGTTTGTGTGTAGGTGTAGGTGTAGGTGTGTGCATATCTAAGCTGCTGTTGCTGTTGTTATTATTGCGGCCGTTGCTGTTGTTATGAGTGGACAACCAACACACAACATATGGCGTTAATAAACTTCTAGCTGTAGCTAGCTGGCCTGAGGGGATGGGTGAGGGCGACGAGGGTGGATGTCGATGTGGAGGGGCAGGGGTGGTACAGTGTTTAGTTAGCGTTAGGCACAGTTGTGTGTCCATCGTATGTTGGCTTGTATTTTATGGCCTCAAGTCAATTCTCTGACAAATGGTGAGCATATTTATTTATTTACTTTAGCTGCCAACGTCGCCAATTTCATTCGTTGTCCAAGCCCCCCTCTACCAGCAACTACCCCCACCCCCTTGCCATTCGTTTGCGTCACTTGGCAAGTGTTTGTTCAACTTGCCAAAAGCAAGCAAATAAAAACAAAAATAACCAACAGCAACAAAATACGAAAAGCTACACTGAATGCTATAGCTAAGTATATATAAGTATATATATATATATTGTGGCCAGGACATGCTGCAAGGGACAAATGCGGCGAAAGACGCAGAAGAAACTGAAAGCGGAAGACAGTTAGGACAGTTAGAAAGATATGCTGTGCTCTGAAACTATTGCATATTAATATTTAAATATGTTGTGCTGCTCATTGTGACAACTGGAATTGAGCAAAATGTGCCACACATGAAATATAATTATTTATGCATTTTAATCAAATAGATTTTGTCATTTCTTTTTTCCCAGAGTATATGAAATAATAATATTGGAATAAAAGCATCTATGGTTATTATAGTTTATGGTAAAAATGCTTTGTTCGAGCACCACATAATAAATAGTTGTGCAAATGCAAATATTTCCAATGAACTTTGTCACCAAAAATATTTTTCATTTTCCAGCCTGATAATTACGGTTATGGAAATTCCTAATTAAATAATTATAGCAAATATGCATTAAAAATATGGTTGCATTCTCTGCATACACTTTTTTCTAAAAACATATTTCAGAGATTGCATTTAATTAAATCTCAAAATGTATGGCATATAAACGAAAAAGTGGTCATAAAACTTATTTTAGTATGCGTTAAAAATGGTTGATTTTTTTTAATATGAGTTTCTTCTACTCGAAGTTGAAGTATAATATTACAAGCATGAAGAATGCAACAAAAATGCTAATGATTAGCAATTTAAGTCATGCTAATTAATAAAAAGGTAACCGTAAGATTATGTATTTGGAGATAAGGCTCTTATTTCAGCAACAATTCCAGCTGTCTAGCTGACAGGCGCAAATAGCAATTTTTCATCGTAACGCTATCGTTTCGCAAACAGCTGCACACTTTGAATTTGAGTGCTTTTATAAAACTCGTAGGCCCCATTTGGGTCGGGAAGCAGGCAGCGGTAGGGCAAATGCAGCATTGCCTGTTGTCCTGCCCTTTGACCTCGCAACGTATGTGCTGATGAAGATTACGTCAGCTGAAAAGTTATTGTTTTGGTCGGGCATTCATCGAGGCAGGCAAGGCAGCGGACGCCAGCACGAAGAATGTGAGAAAGTGTGAGCTTCATTTATATCCATATACTTTTGTGTCCTGTGCCACAGCAGCGGCAGCAGCCAAAAAGCAGGAAACATGCGGCAGCTGTGTAAACTGCCTGCCTTGCTCGCTTGCTTGAATGATGTTGGCTTTGCTTCAGTTTTGCACGGTTCGGCTTGGTTCGGTTCGGTTCGGTGCGGTTCGTTCATTTTGTTTCAGTTAAGAAATAGTTGCAGCATGAAAATTGTGCCCGAATCGAATATGAAGCTGTTGCCACTGTTGCTGATTTTGCTGCTGTTGCATGTGGAGCAGATGCCCTGGGGGCGCATCAGCAGCGCTGGCCAAGCGTGAAAATGACCAGATACATTAAATATAAATCTAAATTGCACATTTTGAGCTTAAATATAATTTACGAACCATAGCACAATAGAAATTTCACTTTAAGTTTCTCACAAAAAGACAGCAAATTGTTTATGTTTTTTTTTTTAATACACTTTCAGGGGTATTATAATTTTGACATTAATTGAAAAGGATTCCTGCAAAGCCTTCAGCAGCAGAAGTTAAGTCATGGTCTATTTTATTTTTAATGCAGGGCTCATCTGGATATATTTAAATATATATCTATAAATAAAATCAGCATACATATTTAATTTTTTGTTGATGTTTTGAGGGTACTTTCAATCAACCTACTACCCAAATTAACCTTTTATTTGTCAATTATTGGACCGACTGAATAATATATATCAAATGTTGACCGATTGGTATTCAATAAATTGAAGCAAAAAATCAACAAACTGACAGAAAATGGTTGAGAAAATGAAAGTTCAAGTTACAAACCATTTTGCTCTGGTCTGTCTTCCTAACTGCTACATATATATGTATATATAGTCATGCATATGCAAGAGTATTAAATCTTCGACATAATATTTCTTCTCTTTTATTTTCTATATTATTTGCTTAACTTTTATTTTTCGCTCGCTTTGCACACATTTGATTTTGGCCTGGCCAGCAGCAGCTGTCTGCTTGCGTGGCTGCCTGGCTGCCTGGCTGCCTGGTTGCCTGGCTGCCACTGTCACATATTTTTGGCCACACAAATTTTGGAATTTTTAATGAATTTCAAGTCGTTGTCATCGTCAATGCAATTCCCTGTTTCTGCACCGCTTCGCTTCCCAACTCTCCTGCATATTTTTGCGTGTGCGCTCGAAAGTATGCAACGTTTGCTGTGTGGTCTGCGTCAGGCGTCCTGCAGTAAGGCATTCCAATGACTTTGTCCAGAAATGGCACAATATACAGCTGCTGTTGATGCTGCTGATGTTGCCAGATGGGGAGGGGAGGGGCAGGAGGTGATTTTTGCGGGCGTGGCACGCAATTAGCCAGACTGTCAAGCAAAGTGTTTTTCAACCCAACCGCTCGTTTTTTACACATTAGAATTGCTAATTGCCAAAAGTTTTTGGGATTTTTGCATTTCTTCAGTGCAATCCAGTGACGTTGAAGACATAAATTACATTCAACTGAGACATTTGTTTGAATATATTTTAAAGGCAGCAGATTGAAATTGTTATAAATGTGTATATGAAGTGCCAGGACATCAGGCAAGACAGCATAATTTCGCAAGATTGCCATGGCATAAATGCAATTGAGTAGAAAACCGCGTCTGTATTGTTTCAAGTTCTTGATTTTGAATAAAATGTAAATCATATAATGCATTTTCTTTCGTATAATGCCTTAGGTTATCAATTCAATTATATAAAAATTATTTAATGAAAAGAAATTTAAAAGACAAACAATTTCTTAGGTAGGAATCTTAATATTTTCACCTACAAGAAAATTTGAGAACTAATTGATAAGATTTATATCTATATCAAGATTTATAAATTTTACACATAAGAAAATTTGAGCACTAATTGATAGGATTTCCTTAATCAAGATTTATAAATTTTAACCATCAGAAAATTTGAACAATAATTTATAGGATTGATAAATTAACATCTAAAGCAAACATCTTAAATTCAAACATTTATTGCAAGTATTGGGGAAAAAACTCAATCAGTAAAAAGTTAAGAAGTCAGAGAAAGATGAAAACTGAGATAATGAGTAATAAGGAAATAAATAAACCAAAAAGGGGCAAATCACTGAACCGACCGAAAGAGAGAGTTCCATCGAAATTACGCGAAATAATGCATTCTAAGATTTGCAAATAGCTTAAGTGGCCAATTACACCAAGTAAATTGGTGAGAGATTGATTAAAAAGTTTTATGAACATCGCATTCAGATCGACCCATAATAACTGAAACAGATGGACGTAACTTTGCTTTCCGGTTCGTTTGAGTTGAAATAATATTCGAACTTTAAGCAATGCTATTCAACGTAAGAAATTTTATGTATAATAAGCCACACACACAAATTCAATAAATGTAAATTTATAAGAGAAATAAAGAAATATGGAAAAGGAAACAAATATTGCAAGACCATTTTTGCAATGCTTCGAACATTGTGGCAGATAAATTGGCAATGCGGATAACAGCAGGGCAGGGCAGGGCAGGGCAGCAAACCAGGGCCACAGTATGCAAAGAAAACTTTTCAATGGCCCCAACCCTCAAGTCTGACAGCTGCCTGGCCAGCGAGTGCTGTCAATTTGTATGGTGTGTGTTTGCGTGTTTGTGTGGCTTGCCAGTCAACAGTTTTTCGGGTTTTTGCAACTTTATGCATTTTGATAATGGGAATATTTTTGTGGCACAGGACAGCAAATATACAGAGAGACAGAGGGGGACAGAATTTTGGTTATACGAATGCGCATTGGTAACGAAATGACAATGGAGTACAAAACTTGCCATTCATTACTTAAGAACTACGAAATTAGCGTTGAATTTGCCACAACAATCGTTAAAAAGTTTATGCCAGGAACAGTGGCAGAAGCTGGGTCTGAGGACTCAACCGAAAAAACTTTATTTTTACAACTAATTGGCAAACTTAAATGTAAGATTTAATTTTGTTGTGGGTAGCGCAGCAGTCGGCATGTTGTTGGGAGTACAGAACAGAACAAAGCCGTTTGAAGCTTCATTAAAAAATTACATTGCGCTGCAGGCGGGCAAACCAGACAAACTGACAAAGAAAAATAACACGCACACACACACACCAAAAGGAGCAAAGAGGAAAGAGACAAATAGAGAGATAGAGGGAGAGCGAGAGAGAGAGAGGAAAACAGTGAAAAGTAACAATTGGCAACTGACAGCTGGCGACTGAAATTTTTACGCCTGGCTGCTTGTACAGCAATTTGTGGGTGGCAATTTATAGCACAGCCCAACAAAAATATTTGCCACATAAATAAGAGCTAGTCAATTTCTGCTGTGACATATTGACAGCTACGAACCCATAAACATATGTGAGAGAGCATCTGCTGCTGCTTGCGCTGCTTACCTGGAAACTTGTAGAGTGCCACCTCGTTGCAATTAATCTCAATCAGTGTTGACGTCTCGTTGGGCAGACCGGCGCACTGGCACATCGAGTTCAGGGGACAGGCGTATAGCACATCCTGCTGCTGGCTGCCGAGCAGCGCGGCCGATCCTCGTCCGGGCGGCGGACCACGTGCCAATGCTCGTGGCGTATTTCTGACACTGCGCTGCAGCAGTCTACGCACAGCAGCCGCACCAGCGCCCCCGCCATCGAATTGCCAGCAGTGCGCGGTGCACACAAGGCACGAGATCAGCGCTAGGTACAGATGCATTCTGCAAGAGACAAATGGAGAGACCGATAGAGAAAGAGCCAAATTAGTCTGAATTCTGATTAGATTAATATAGTGTTGAATTTCAATAAGACGATATTATAATTGAAGTTGGTTTTAATGATTAAATGATAAACTAATGATTATATTTTAGTTCAACCACTAAGCAGACAATACATAGATCGTAAAAATCATTGAATTTTTTATCAATAATTGCATTACAATTTTTATTTTTATTTTCTTAATTTGCATAACTCCGATTTAATTAGGCAGAAGGATATGCAGTATCCTAGATAAACATTTCTTAAGTAAAGAAGAAATCTTCAACCCGTCAAAAATTCTTGAATTCGTTCGTGTTCATAAAAAAAAAACTATAGGCTCATCTAAATTGGTCTATCGCAATACACAATTCTCAGATACTTCAAATTTGCAGTATAAGTTCTCGTATAAAAGTTTATTATATGTTTTTGATAACTTTCCCCTGATTCGCAAATATCAATACAAATCGACGTTTTGATGGAAAGTAATGTTTTAAAGATATATCTTAAATATTGACATATTACGTATCAGCTGCAGAATTTGTTTAATATCGGATAAGAAACACCCGTGCCATAAAGCGTATTATCATTGCAAAAATCGTTTGCATCCATAAGTAAGCAATGTCAGAAATAGGCAGCATGCTGAAAACGAGCCTATATATATATATATATATATATATATATATACATATATATATATATATATGTATATGTGTGTGTGAGTGAGTGTGTATTTTTCCGCGCCCCGATATCTATGAATGCGTGCATAATACACGCATAAAAATAAAAAATGTTGGAGGCACTCGTTTGTGGCAAGCTGTTGATTTCTCTTCGGCCTTGTGAATAAATGCATGCGATGTCCTAAATTTCTTTTAAAGCTCTTCAGTAGCTGTGCCGTAAAATGTGGAACACTCGTCAACCATTGAGTAAAGTTTTTATAGAGAAATTTGGCTATAAAATTAAAAGCTGCGCTTTAATTAATTTAATATATTTAGCAGCAGGGTTCTGGGTATCTCCCAGATAGGCTCTCTCGACTAGGGCATTCAAGATTGTTTTTAATCAATTAGTTTTTACTGATAAACTTATATTCTTTAATATTTCTAAAATTTCGGTTAACTTAAGTATTACCATTCGAAGATCAAAGATTCAGTTACAAAATTGTATTCCTTTTAATTAAATTGAATGGGAAATTCGTTGAAAAGCGTTACGAAAAAAAGATTTCCCGGCTTTCCAGTAAAATGTACATTTAAATAGCAAAGAAATTCAAATTGAAATTTCTTCATAAGCATATTATAAAAAGCACAAATAGTTATATTTTGTTTTCTCTACAAAGTAAACCACAATCAACTGAGCAGCACGTGCAAATAAACCAGATGGAAATGCACATATTAAAAAACCTCGAAGCATTCAAAATGATTATACAAACAAAAAAAACGTGAATGTAAATATTCCAATATGTTTTACAATTGTTGCCCGGAGCAACGCTGCATTAATGAAAATAAATACTCGATCGCAATATATTTAAAATAGTAAGGAGTGAAAATTGCACGTGGGAAAGCGTCATACAAAAATATTTGTATAAATGCAAATAAATAAATACGGTTCATATTTAAAATGCTGACAGCAGTTTATAACTCTCGTTGGAGCTGTTGAAATAAATGGGGCATGGCATATAAAGACGCTCATTAGGATGGCTCTGTTAGACACCTTCGGTCTACGCATTTATTTATTTGCCGCTGCTTAGCATAAATCGCACGTTAGAATGAATAGAATGACATAAAATTAACGGTACTCCCGCCCCTGAGCAAAAGAAACCCCCATTAAAAGACGCAACTCAATGGCACAGTGTGGCAAAATGTCATTATAATTGATTACAATCATTAACTATTTCTTATGCTAGTTTGGCCACACTTTGAACATAATGTCTCCATCAAAGATAAAAAGTTGCAGCCTGTGTTCAAATTTCCAACACAAATTTCAACATATTCAAGATTCGTAAATTATGTTGTGAATGCTAAAAATTCATATCGGGTATTTCATGTTTACTGTTTGATGTTATGAAACGTTTAGCAATGGCAATGTCTCAAATAGCTAATATTTTAAGAAGGGTTAGTGCTTATTTTTAAAATAAAATTTAAGTTACATTTTTTATTTATTAATTATAAGTTAATGTTGAACGCAAAATAGAATCGTAGTTTCTAATACAGAAAAGTTGTTATAGTCTGTCATATATTATAATTATTTCGGAAATACTAATGAATTTAAGCCGATGAGATTTTTTAATAAGATCAGATGGTAAATTTTAAGAATGTTAAGAATGTAAATGTAAAGAATGTTGGTCAAAGTGGAATCAGTTTATGAGTCTACTTATTGCCGGTCATTCTCGCAGAATATTTGCCGGAGTCTCGTAATTTTCTACTCAGACTCTGCAAGCTGCATCTTCCACAATTTTGAGTCTGTGTATATATTTGACTTTTCACTCAACTTCAGAATATCACTAGTACGTTTCTTGTCTGGCTGCATCGTAGATAAATCTGGCTAAATGACTTTATTGAAGGAAATAAAATGTGTTATATACTAGCCATTTATCAATTCTTTTGATTGTGCTGCGTACTTAAACTCTAAAGTTGTCGGTTATTTTAGTGCCACTGTGCAGACATTGTCGCCTCATGTGCAACTCTTCAGCTCAACTCAACTCAACTCAAATCAGCTTAGCTGAGCTAACGGTGAAGTTCACCTAAAAGCTTGCGACAATTCATGCAAATGAGCCGCAGTCACACACGAGCTCCGACTTTCACACTCATCGACTCGCACGCTCGCACATTCTCATGCCTCGAACCTTAAAAAAGTGCGCAACCACAGCACGTAGGGGCTAACACACACGCTCTCTCTCACACACACAGACACTCACACACACACAGACACACACACACAAAAACACTAGCTGAGTCGCTCTGAGGCACAGGACTTTCACAGAGCGGCGGCATATAAAACATGTTTCATGTACGTAGATGTGTGATGTTTATTTGACACGCCAAAGTATATAATAACAAATAAAAACTTTGGCATACCAGACGACAGCGACAACGCCAACGACGAGGACGAGGACGAGGACAAGAACTCTGACAAGGACGACTACGATGACGAGTACGACCCATTAGCACGATTTTTGAGCTTTAAGGTTTTGGCGGTTTGGGTACCTTCGCGCACATTACGAGCACCCATAAAACTAGAACCAAAAAAATGTATATATATTCCCATCTACTGATAGGCAGGTGTGGAGAGACGACATGAGGACCAAGCAGAAGTTATTTAAGTCGGCTTAGAATTTTGGATAAGTCAAATATATGTTTTTCGTGCTAGTAAGCGACTTATGTGTGGTTCCTTGAAGCTCAAGCTAAAATATTTACTATATTTAGTTATGGAAAGAGTTTTAGTAGAAAGCAAGTCAAAGTGAAAGTCTTTCGGAATATTTCAAATTTTACTTGATAAGGACCCGCCAACTGTTAAAATTAAATTTTAAAGTTGTATTAACATTTGAAATTTTCAGACACACTGCAGTATTTTAAAAATACTGAAAATATAAAATAAAAGTGTCATTTTTAGACAGAAAACAAGTATGCTGAATCTTTTCAAACTTGCTGAAATTTCCGAATCAATTCCTGCAGAGTTGAAGAACATTTGCTTGAAAGTTAGTTGCAAATAAATTATATTTAAATGGCTACACGACCAACTGCTAAAGAGTTGCAAATATTAAAGGACAATAGACTTGCATTAACGCTTGGTAAATATTAGCTACAATCTATATATTCTCAACCAAGTCCATATCATGCAGATGAGTATTATGAACAATGTGTGCAGACTGCTTCCACTGAACCTGATACAAACAGCCACGGACCAAATCGAACTCAACAAAGATTCAATACGGAAGTTATGAAACTAACACTTGGTAAGTGACATTCGAGTCATGCAATTCACAAAATCATAGATAGAACTCCCCGAAAACCACAGATGAGTATTATGTGCACTTTGTCTTGCCCAAGGAACGAGTCCAGTGCCAAGAAGAAAAGAGGAAGCAACTGAGAATCAGTCACTATCATCGAACTCACTATTTTGCGCCCAGCTATTTGGAACGACGCCAGCCGCGGCAGCCTTGAGCCAATGTTCACAAGAGATGAACGCGGTGCAAGTAGCCTAAGTATGTAAACTAATGATGGCAAAGGACCTACAAAACTTCCGTAGCTTGCTCCAAGGGTCACTCAAGAGTCTAAGTTAACAACAAAACTAACTGACATTCAATGCTAATCCGGTTAATAAAAACAGAGGAAAACAGGAGAGAGAGAGAAAGAGAGACAGAGATTTTACTCTGTACACTGAGTACAGATTTGTGTTATAATAATAATGCGAAAAATTCTTTTGAATGAGACCAGAAAAAGCACTTAGCCACAATTAAATGACATCTGACATTGTTCGTAATTTATCCTTTATCCTTTATCCTTTGTCATTTTATTGACAAACAAATTGTTGAAAAATCTGCTGAATTATATTTTCAGTCAAATATTTTGTTCATGTCATATTTGTGCTTATTTTTTTGCCAATATTTATTCCAAGTCAAGTCATATATATCAAATAACAGCTAACATAATTTAAATTCCAAGCAACAATTTATTTATTTACCTCATCTTTATTTGAATTATATTTCAGCCAATTATTTTGGTAATCAATTTCCATGCAAATATTTATTTATTTGCCATTACTTGGTTTCTTTGCAAATTATAATTGATTTGCATTAATTTGATCACAAAGTGATTTATTAATTGACAGCTTAGATGCTTGGGCGTATTCAGTAAAAGTCATTATTTTATTTTATTATTTATGGATTTGATGCTTTTTAGTTAATCATCAGCTCATGTGTCTGGTCAAATGATATTTAGCTTTGCTCAGCAAAATCAATATCAATCTTCAATTGCCGTCTGGCACTTTTGCTGATTGTTTTTCATTATGTTGATGGTGACAAATCGAATCTGCCTCTTGCAACATTTGGGCTGACCATGTAAAACCAAATGATACATCACACAGTTCACTGGGTGGCTGAGCTTCTGTGTGCGTGTGTATGTGTCTCTTCTTCTTGCCTTATTGTCTTATCAACATTTATGCACCTTCAAATTTATTTCTGCTCAAACACACATACACAAACGCACAAAGTCAGTCAGTCAGTCAGTCAGTCTGTCCGGGCAGGAAGAACGGTCGAGAGTTACGCCAGAAAAGATAAATATGTCGTAAAAGTTTTTTATTTGCGTTTTATTTTTGATACAACAAATGACTAACTTGTTGGCTGACAGTCAGATAGACAAACAGACAAACAAACAGTCAGTCAGTCAGACCTTATACCCATAGCTAGCAGGTACAGCAGAGCAAGAGAAGGACGGATACGGAGAGAGAGAGAGAGATGGAGTGACTAAAACAAAGAAAGTGAACAAGCGGCGAGTGACAAGCGAGCAAACGTCTGTCACGCACAGACCGCCAGTTGCCCCAATGCGGGTGCCAACTGACTCCACCCCTCGCCCACACCCCCACCTGAGCTCTGAATGGCAACTTTAAAAGCAAAAAATGAAAAAATGTGTTTCCATTTAGCCGATTATTGTATGCACTTGAAACGAGAACTCTTTTGAACATTAAATCATTTTTTTATGATTAACTAATTAAGAAAAAGTTTACTTTGTGAAATACTGATAAATTAAATTTAATTTAATCAAAATTGTGTAATTATTCGTTATTTTCTGTTTAAAATAAATACCAATTTATTTTGAGATTTTCATAATAATATAATAAATAATTTATATATACACAAACAAATAAAACATACAAATAAAATTTAAATGAAATTACTTAACCAAATAATTAAAGCTCTGAGTAGTATTTATATCTTTCAATAATTAATAGATATATAGAAAAGAAGGATGAATTGAAATTCTTCAATTAATTGATTCTCATAAAAATATTTGAGTAAAAATTGTAAACCATATCTGGATGGAAACATGTACTAATAAATGAAGTTCATTCAATTTTTCCTAGACTCATGCGGCAGATTTACCCTCTTCAGTAGCCTTCAACTCTAATTACTAAAGCAGATGCCTCAAGAGGAACACCTAATTGTGTAGAGAGTATAACAAGTAGCTGGCAAAGCGCAAACAGCACAATAAACTGTCCTTTCTCTCGGGCAGCTTGAGAGTGCCATGAAAAGGTCAACTGGAGGCAGGAGGCAGGAGGCCGACCGCAAGTTTTTATTACGCATATAATGCCAGCGATTTGCCCCGCTCAGTCACTGGTCGACCAAGTTGGCTACATGGCATGGGGTTTTCATCATTTTTATACTTTTAATTTTTTATGCCGGGGACACAGTGACATCAAATGTCAACGAGCTGCAAAACAAGCATCAGCCAGGTCCTGGCCAACGAGTCCTACCAGCAGCCACTAGAATAAATGTATTTAAGGATGAGCGTCCATTGGGGGCAGCGACGCAGCTCAGCGCAGCGCAGTGTAGCAGAGCGCAGCGCAGCAAGAAAAATGCTGGAAAAGCGTAGCATACATTTGGGAGCCGTTGTGCAGCTCTGGTGAAAATTTGCGAGCTTGTGCGATAATAACATATGTAAGTTGCTTGTACAAGTTTTAATATGCATGTGTGTGTGTGTATGTATATATATATATATATATGTGTGTGTGTGTGTGTGTGCAGGTTTTAAATTTCGCCCCATAATCTGTTGACTGCACGAAGGCAGCGCACAGCTTCTGCGCGGCGAATACATTTTAAAGCCGGCGCTCAGACGCCACTCAGAACCTTAAATGAACTTAAAAAAGTATTTGTATATGTATGTGTGTCCGTATTTAACGCCGTTGGCAGACAGACAGGTGGGCGGGCGTGCCTGCAGGCACGTAGGAGTAAGCAGCGGCGTGGCATCATGTATCTGTGAGATACATTCGAGTTAATCGTCGTAAAAGCACTTCAAAGTCAATTAGGAGCGGTTCAAAGTTCATGGAAATTGTTTTGTTTTTTGTTTTAGTTTGTTTTACTTGGGCGTGCTTTTTCACAAATAGCAACTGATACTGTATACCCAGCCAGTTCATCAAAGTCTGTTGCAAGTAACTGGCAGATGACTGTGATTTTAAGGCATTTTTGGTTTGCCAACAACAATTTAAGAGCATTCAAAACCAGTAACTTAACGAACATCCTGTCAACCACGTCAAATTATTGTACGTCACACATGTTTAACTGTGAATTTGTCGCCTCTGCTATTTACAGTTGCATTAATTATTAGCACTTTTGATTTACGGCAGGAAAAATAAATTCAATTAATGTTTAATATTTTGACACGACTACGGTAAAGTACTCGTTTACTCCCATATTGTTATAATACATATAAAATTGACTTTATAAATGTGTGTACAATTCGTATAAGCTATTATTATTAAATGAGGTAGATTAAATAACACTTTTCAATCCACTCAATTCAATTATATACAAAAAATCGACCTGAAATTTAAAAATTACCAGAGAGTTTTTCTGCTTTTTTTTGGAAATAAATTCCAGACATAATAATTTTCTTGTTTTTAAAAACAAATTCTAAATATTCTAATACAAATTTCTTTTTTATTTTGCAGAAATATACTTCTTAATAATAGAATATATTTCTTAACAATAGAAAGTATTTCTAAATAGTAGAAATGCGAACCATTATTTTTAGAAAATACCTACGGGGTTCTAAGAAAGCATTTCCCTGAGTATGCATGTAATTAAATAATTTAAATTGTAAATCCATTTACAGCTTAGACGAAAATATATATTTGATTATTGCAAGGAAATTGGAGTAGAAATCGCAATAGAAGCCAAAAATGCATGTAATCTGCCTTCTAATTGCATCTGCCTACTCAAGTGAGTTAATCGAAACAACACTTTCAACATAGTCAACGAGGTCACAATTGGTTTTAAAGCCACATCCGAACAAATATCTCTGCTTTTCGGATTGTGCTTGTCTAACAAAATCTACAAGCCTACAAAATACCAAAAAGTCTGTGTGCAGGCTCAGCAATTCGAGCTGGATTTTTTTTTTTCATGTACTTTCCTTTCGGTAATTTACACGGTGGCAGGCATAAAGCCCACATTCGTACCCAGAGCCCTAGCATGAACCTATTTTTATAGCCAAATACCCACACAGACAGCAGAGAGCCAACCGACAAATCATATGTCAAAATCAAAGTTAATCCCTTTGTGTTATGTACAGCAATTGAAATTATGTGCTTAAGGGCTTTAACTTACCCTAACAAAATACAAATAAAAAAAATATAAATAAAAAAAAAATCACAAACACACACAAAGCCAAAACGTTAATGTTGCACTGTAGGTGGACAACAATGCCCCAAACGCAGCACAAATTGCGTATGTTACCTCCTGCCACATTCTGTTGTAAGTACACATATATTTCTGTTTTATTTTTATTTTTTTCAACTGCTGCCATTATTTTTGTTTTTATTGCGCAATACACGAAACAATCATAAAAAAGGAGGAAACAAAAAATGGAGTCGAGCGGCGCAATTTGAAACAACTGCGCCGGGCACTTGAACCCAAACGGCTGACAGTAAGCACAACAACAACAGCAACAACAACAACAACAACACCAGCCGCAGCAACAATAACAACAAAAACAATAAACAATAACAGATTTATTGCATATTTCGCACTGGTAATTGAGATTAAACAGTTCAAAAAAGCAGCCGCTTGGTATTTCATAAACCCGCAGGACACACACACACACATACACGTGCGTGAGTGTGTGTGTCCATAAGTCAACGCATAAATTAAAGGCTCATATATCGTTTTGTACGCCAGTCCAGCTTGTGCCCGCCTGCAAATCCTTCATCATTTTTTGTTCGCTTGTTTTTGTTTTTCAGGGGCTCGCTCATTGCCTTTGGCCCTGTTGGCCCGGGGTCATAATTTTGGTCGCACAACTTGTATGTAATTCGTTTTAATAATTGTCAAGTTGTTGCCTTTATTTATGACAAACTTTTATTAAATTAATTGCCGCTGCCTAGTGGCGAAAATTGTTGTTGCTATCGTTGCTGTTTCAATTGCTGGATTTGCCGCATTCGCATTTAATTGATAAATGCGTCAGGCAACGCGTCAGGCGCGCAATTGCCAGCTGTAATTATAGACGATTTGAATAATTCAATGCTCAGCTCTTGGCTCTCTGCCATTGCGTTTTGTTTACGAAATTAATTGTGCGGCCAACCGCAATGCACACTGAAACTGGGTGGAAAAAACACACTTAAATCAACGAGAAAGTGCAATACAAAAACAAAAATATTTATAGATATTATTCATAGATTTTGCGTAAACTCAAATATGCAGCTGAAGCTTGTTAATACATTATTAAGTATTTAACTGTAATCAGGCTTTATGGTATAAATGAATTAATACC